TGTTGATGAACAATTCTGGCAGTACCACAAGGATAAACAGCAATGCATGAGGCAACAGGTCCTAATGCCTGTTCCTCTTGAACGTGAACAAATACAACTTCTATACTGACCTCTGGATAGGATTGTATTACAACTCGTGGACCCGGAGTAACTGCTAAAGAGGCGTGCCAGCTGAGTTAGGCAAGCTTACTGGCCCTAGCTGGTCAATACCTCAAGTTGAGGTCCTCAACTGCCGCGGTTGAACCGCGTCTGAATTACAAAGCTACCATGACGACCACAGGATTTGAACCTAGGACAGTGGGTTACTAACTATTACGCCTAACCACTAGACCAACCGGTCGATTACAACACATATGACTTAAGGGGATCTCGGCTTGAATTTTGTTGGCGCGCGCTCGTGGCGCGCGCTTGTTCCTTCACTGTTATCAGGGTTCGCGGGAAATTTTTTCCGGTTCACCATTTCCAGGATTCACTGTTTTCACGGACAACCTAACTGAGAGAGGAATCTTCTGCCGTTTCACTGGCAACCGTTCCCTCACAACTCGGGCGAATCTTCCAAGTGTGCAGATATACTTGAATGGAAATGCAATAAGTTGAATATACTTGAATATTTGGAATGGAGAATAATCAATTATCTTAGTCGTCATCATCCGATTCCACAAACCAACACGACTCTACTTGTGTCATGCCCGTCAAACCTGACGACGACCACAGTCTAACACATGGTGCATCATCCGAGAAACCATTCGAGAATCGTTTCCTCTTTCTTGAGGAGACCCTGCAAGAGGTGGCTCAGAACGAGACTAAGCTCCCTGGTCGTTTCATATCCCGCTGGGACTTGTCTATAGATGGGCAGCGTAACATTTTTTACGGTTTACCGTAAACCGTTTACGTTACGGTTTCCGTAACGTAAGCAGTTTACGGTTACGGAAAGGCCTTATGACTTTACGGTTGGTGCTGAACTGTTTTTTTTTTTGGAATTGTGGTGGAAACATTCGCTACAATCATTGCAGTGCAATGCACTCCGCGATAGCTCAAATAGTTGCTAAGCTCATTTCTTGTGGCTCGGATCCAACCGAATGGCTGAGAGAGTAACATTTGGTTTCGCATTTACCACTCGTCTCCTTTGCAAATTCCGTCCGTCTTACTCCCAGGCTGGCCCGGAACATTCACATGAAATGGATTCAGGCGACTTGGATTATCAATCCTCGTTTTGTCCTCTGCATCTCCGTAAGACCGGTTACGGCGCCGTAATGTTACGGTATGGGGACCCCGTAACGGGGCTTAAATCGTAACCTTGAAGTGGGCCGTAACGATCCGTAGCGTAATTCTGCCTATCTATAGACTTGTCTCGCTTGACGAAGCCCGACGAGTGGACTGAAGGAAAATCTTTGGCTGATCTGCTGGCTCCAATGACCCTGATGCTTCTTGCTTATGTTGCTCCCTCTAAGTCTTTCATAGGTCTGGTTGTTCAAGAGCATTGTATGAACAACAGCAAAACACTTACGGCCAAGTCAAGCATCCCCATCTCAGACGACAAAGGTACCCCAAATAACCAAGAGCGAACAGTTCGCTCTTGGTTATTGGTAACGTGCAGTTGCCAATGCAGTTATAACGTGCAGTTACTGCAAAAGATCTGAAGTCTTGGTGAACGGAGTCTTGCTCCGAGGTTCTGAAAGCTGTGCAGACGCTCCATTCAGAGATAATCATCCCGCAACGATATTGCGCAAGTGGTGTACGGCTGCCGTACTACGGCACTGCCGAATACTGGTCAAACGTGGAGTGAGTTCCTCTCGCATGAGGAAGCTCTCTATTCACAGCGTGAACCTGGGGTAGCATGGACAATCAGGAGGGGCTAACTCATAAAGTACCTCCCCGATTGACAATCGGCGATTGTTATGCCTACTTCAGAAAGAGTGAAGTGACTCGTGAACAAGATCTCCCCAAGCTCCGATCCTCCCGCAAGTTGAGAACCTTCGAAGACAAACTGAAATCCATAGCTGAGTACCATGCTCCACTCACTGTGAACGATGTTTTGGGAGCTGCGCTTGATCCTCTATGGAGCAGGAGACCTAATGCAAGCAAGCTGAAGGGTCGTGAGGAAACGCCTACCCCTAAGCGTACCTCTGCTACAGTTGCTGCTGTTGACAAGAACGATGGCTCCCGGCCAAAAACAAGATAAGGATGCCAAAACGAAAGACCAATCTATCAAGCCCAAGTCCACAGGCTGTCATAACTGTGGCTACCTCAAGCACTGGAAGTGAGACTGTCCGCTGTTGAAGTCTAAGCCCGTGGAGGTCAAGGCCGAGTCTCCGATATCTGAAAGCAAAGTTGATGACGCTAAGCGAGCCCATAGTGGACAAACCTACGTATTTTTTGGGGACAAAATTTGCCCCCAAAAAAATACGTAGGTGCCCGGCAAATTCAAGAAATCTGTGTTTCTCGTTAACGAATGGGAGTTTTGAGCTGAAACTTTAACAGAGCTTAGATATAATAATTATAACTATTATATACTGAAATGAAACTGCAATATTTGGAACCTGAGATATGAGGGCGAAGGAGGAAATCACCACCCAGAACCGTGCAATTTTCTTAAGCAACGCAACTTATTGGGTGATGTCAAAGTACTCCTTGGGAAAACTCTAATTCATAGAGCAAAACCCTGAAGGCAGCCCTCGATACTTGCTCTGGACTCACTCGCAGCTTAGCTGCTAGTAGTCTACATTGGAATACAACGAGTTGAGTAGAAGTATTCAATCAATCAAGTGGTCTTCGATATATGCCCTTCTGATTGGCCAATACTCAGTGTTGACCAATCAGAAAGACATATATCGAAGAATATGCTAAGAATATGTGGAGGGGTGTATGCGCAAAACTTTTGCGCGTGTCGGCACGCGATGAAGGATGATTCGCAAACCAGGATTGCAGCTTGATGGACCTCTCGGCCAGTTCTATGAGAGATGTAGTGGGACTCCCATTTGGTAGAGGAAACGAGAAACTCCCCTCACTGATACGGCCAGCTAGTGTTGAAGTTCTTACTATCGCTCCTTGTCGAATCTGAAGTTCCTCGAAGAGTCTCTTTAATTCTATTTCACCCGCCCGTCCAAGTAGGAATTACGATTTTTGAAACAGGCGCTGAAAAAGTGTAGAAGCTATAGATGCTCGCTCCGTTATCGCACAAGATTAACTTAACTCGATCATATTTGGCCGCACTGTTGCACACAACAATGAAATATGGGAGGGTCAATGAATGATTGAAAAACAAGACTAATGACTGATTGCTATGCGAAATAATCAATTCGCGCGTGTGCCGATACGCATTCCTATAGTCTATTTTATTTCACTCTCGAAGAGTGTTTCTACTTGAGTTCACTTATACCTATCTTATTATTCTTCCAATCATACAAAAAGTAACGTCCAATGAGGCTAGGGAGTCCAATAGCCCATAGAGGATAATCGGTCACATTAAGAAGTACGCGGCAATAATCACGCCCTTGAGCATCCGTTCTAATGTCCACATATGCATCAGAGGGGATCTTCACCTTGACGTCCGAACCATCTAGACCCTTTAGAAGAAATTCTATCGGTGGAAGGTGTTGTCGTTGATTACAATTGACGATAAGCTTAGACCCCCTTTGGGTAATCGTCACCTTACTGCTTGATCGAGCCTCAAGATCTTTTATAAGGTTAGGAAGAGTATACCTATGCATAGGTATGAATATGCACTCTGCCCCAGTATCAAGGATACCATTATCATTCACAGCCATTACAGGATACGCGCTACCTCCAAGGGAGAAGCCAGTAACTCGGACATACCTGGATTTAGTAGTAACCGCTACATAGACCAACGGACTTTTATGCATACTAGATCCGATCCACCGAGAAGAGTTCCCCTCTTTCATTAGTGCCATCATGCCTGAGGTAGATCGAGAGATATTACTCTCGATAAGCTCTGTGGGAGAATTGTTCTATTATCGGAACATATGGTGATTTTGGGTCAAATTCCGGTGCCATCCGAAACTGGCATGAGGGACTGGCACATTGGGAGCGCACGTGTATTCAGCAACCAGACCGAATGTAATAGTGGCACTGACAGCTTGGCCGAAATGGGCCGTTGCAGATTCCTTGAAAATCCTTACTTCGGATCCATCTCCGAAATGTATTATATGAGATTTTCCCTCCCTGCAAGGTTCAGGGCTGCATTCATAACAACCGAAGATGATATCCTTGCACCTCCCTGGATGACCCTTCTCATACCAATGCTTCCAGAGAAAGAACGTTGTGGGTTCACCGGTGTCAATAACACCATAGACATTTTGGCTACCGATTGTTACTTTTCCAACTAGGAAATACACATCGGCCTCTTTCGTAACCTTCTCATACGATATAGGCACCCTTATGAGAGATCCCACTACACCGGATAATAGGGAGAGAGGGAAAAGTAGGGAACGGAATATGTCCATCTCAGATTGGAAATCAGCTACAAGACATAAATTCAGGTAAGCCAATCACCACTGGTGAACAACCCAACATTGGCATCGGCGCTAGATGATGAGTTAGTCATCAGAAGATGTTGACAACTCGCTATCGAAGTTCAAACATATCCGGATGCCACCGAAAAAGGACATCGATCAACTCGCGTACTTCACGTGGAATGCTACGGATGAACAGGATTCCGCACAAGCTTGCGCGGCCTAAACCTGCTACGAACCGTAAGCGAATAAACCAACTATGGGAAAGTATAGGGCAATAAAGAAGTCAAGATAGACACAATCACCGTTGGAGGCGACTGCCTATTTCGTGGTAACGGTACCTGAGGTACCACGTGAAATTTCACTGAAATTCGAAATTTCGTGTAATTCTGAATATTTGGATGCGCCCTACCGCGCACGCAAGCCTAGTCCGGTGACCGGACTCCGGTCCCGATGAAGGTCAATTTATTAGGCTAGGCCAGCAAGCGAGCGAATGGTTTGTGTTGGGGTCCGTCCAGCCCTCTCACAATGGCATCATGCCATTGTGAGATGGCTGGATGCCTATGTGAGATGGCTGGAGGCCAATGTGAGATGGCTGGATGCCAACTTGAGATGGCTGGATGCCAATCTGAGATTACTGGATGCCATTGTGAGAGTGCTGGATGCCACTGTGAAAGGCTGGATGCCGCTGTGGAAGGGCTGGATGCCATGGTGGGAAGGCTGGATGCCGTTGTTAGGCTTCTCGGGACGAGTCTCGTCCCGAACACAGCGGCATCACGTCCACTCTCAGAGTGAACGTGGACTTGCCTGGTTCGGATGTATCGAGCTGCAGCGTGAGTCTGTCTGCACTTACCATCCAATAGAGAGAGTATAGTAGTTTTCTATTGCTTTGAGTGGACTAAACCTCGGTTGGTGACGTCGCATCGCAAATGAGTTCTATTCGTTCTGCCAATGGGGTCCACAAGTATTCGTTGAACTGATACATGATTTCGATCATCGGCACGTGATACTATTACCTCTTAAAAAGAGGCTCTTTTTGAGATGCTCTGACGCGTGGATGTCGACTTGTCTGACTCAATTCCATGAGAATGGGTGACAACGGAGGGTGGCACTGTGAGAACTCATCACTGAGAAGGTTGGATGCAATAGTTTGAGTGCTGATTGAACCTCGTTGAAGCTGGATGTCAGTGTTCTTAAAGAATGGATGTTATTAATCGGAGGCTGAATGACATCATGTGCCACACGACGTGTATAGATCCACGTTGTGTGGATGACTGGGACATATAGCACGGCAGGGAGGATAGACAGTATCATGATAGGGAAGGGCGATAGTGTGCTTCGTGGAAAGTGAACGTTAACTTGCCTGGCTCGACATATCGGGTTGCAGCGTGAGTCTGACTTCGCTAAGCGAAGTTCGCTTACCATCCAGCATAGCGATTCGAATAAGTTTCTCTCTCTTTAGTGGAATTGGTTTATATTCCGCTCGAATTTGGTTGGTGGTCTTCCACATCGTAAGACCTTGCCTTGTCTATTCGTTGCTGAATGGAAGTGGGAGTCACCGGTATATGAGGTGGAATGTGACACATCATCATTACACTGAGCATTCGAGTGCGTGAACATCGTGTCGTTTGACTCGACTTGGAGTCATAGGGTGAGACGACTTCACGGCTCATCACCTCGTGATGTCATCATTGAATTCTAGTTAGCTCACTGGGAGTGAATGGAGGCTAGGGGAATTGGCAGTATTGTGAGAAATGAATCTCACAATACTATTCGATATTTGTTTATAGTACTACTTTGGTTGTAGGAATTGGAACTTCCAATTTGGAAGACTTGACCGGGAGGGTGTGGAACTTTCGGAATTCCGTCTAAAGAGCGCGAGATCTCTCGGGCTTGCCTGTAAATAACGTATATGATTTACATGATCCAACCGGGAGCTGCTCCCGGTTGAACCCGAAACTTCTAGAGACTATTCCACGACTGATTAGTCGACGACTAATAGTCGTACGTGCATCGCGTTAGAATATGAACAGAATAACTCGATATAGCGTCGGTATATACAGCTGAGTACAGCTTGAAGCTGAAGCTTCAACTGAGGGAGTTGAACTTTGAATTCATATTGGGCGATTTCGTACCCTGATGGACTTTTCACGCGTTCATCACGTGAGAAGTTCTCACTGAGAACTATCAAGTAGACAATTGACGGTCAATTATCGACCGGGACTGGAGGCCAAGGAACTTTTCCTGGGAAAGGACAAGGGACGGATGAGGGTCCAAGGTTATTATGGGCAGAAAGTCTCTTTTTCCGGGTTCGTGAAGAGGGCGAGCATGCAGTTTAGGAATATAAATGGAGGCCGTTCGGAAGGATGAAAATTGGCGCCACAAGGGAGGATCATTGTGTTTCTTCCATCGAGGCATATCTTTCTTGAAGAACGATATGACTTGTATGAAACTACGAACTATTGCTTAGATCTATCGTCATTGAGGATCCGACGAATTGGATCCGTCAATGTGAGGGTCCGTGGAGGATCAATGGGGACTCTACCAACGATGGCGGATCTCGTGAATTTTTTCGGAGGTCTGTCATGGTTCAAGGGATGCAATGATTCTCTTCCTTATTGGGAGTATGGACAGCAATCTTTAAACAAATCTATGGGGATCGGAATTTTAGAGACATTATTGAGTCAATAATATTAACAGAACTAAACGAGTTATGAGGTGTCAGAGAACAAGACCAACATGGTTTCAAGCTATGAGCGCTCTATGAGTCATAGACTATGACCGGCGCCAAAGTTCATTGCAGATTGGACTGTGGAACGCCAAAGGAGATAGTTTAAGTATGATGACTCCCTTGGCAAATTGAGGTTGAAAAGGATGGTGCCGAGTGGTTATTAGAGCGAAGACTCGTCGAGGAGCGCGCAACGCCAGTTCAGTGAACTGTGTTCATTCGTATGAGACTTTCAATGGGTCTGAGGAGCATACGCTCTGCTGCAGTGCGTATATCTAGCAGAGAATTTATGAAATATTCAGTGAGGTCAAAAAGGTCTTACCTAAGGGACAGACGCTTATCTCATGGTTAGGATTCTGTACACAAACGTGTAGTGTTTGACTGTCATACTATGAAATACACTGTATGTCGCTCGGGGGACGTTTCATGGAGGCGATGACAAAAAAAACAGCGAATGGTAACCTCGCTCTCGGTAACCTTGATGTGAGGGTGACTTTGTGAAAATAGGGCTAGCGAATGTAGTGGCGGCCACCACTCAACTGTTCTTAAACGGATTGAGGGCCAACGATAGAATCAAAGGATTAGATCATACGGGTGGCCAATCCGATTTGGAAACGGACAATGCATCGCGTGACATGGAGCGTCGATCTGAATATTTGCTTTTGGAGTTATCATCGCGGATAGCGACTGCGCGTGGAACCCATCGATGGGTGTAACAAATTGTTAGTAACAATGAGAAGTTGTGGACATGCAGTATGCTTTAGTATGAGGTTTGTGTATCCTCGGTGAGTGATAAGAGACAGCACACATCCGAACATTACTAAGCTTCGATGGTCCTCGAGTCGAGGACCTCGACTGAGAATGGTGGAGCGAAGCTAACAGGGACCGAGCATCAGCACGTCAAATGCCCGCTGCACGATACTTTGCTGGCGGACGAGTTGACAGCACCTCCATTCGAGTGGCCACTGCCCCAGGATCAGACAAAGACCATATCAGACTCTCATTCTCCTCACGATAGCTACAATCTTTCGGGAGAGTCTCCGTCGGAGACTCCGGGGAGATTCGTCTTAAAATCGAGCTCAACCCAAGAAGAAAGAAGCTTTCTTAGGATCCATCGTGGGAGGAGACCGCTTGTGACGAGTACAAGGCAACCCTAGGCAGACCTTAAAACCTAACGTGTGACGCGCCTGCGTTCACGCAGGAATAATAGACAACACGCATGCACAGACCATGATTCGCACAAAGCAATATAGCAGCCGTAACACAGTAGAACCGTAACGAAATGATATCATACTAACGCAGCGCTAGCTATAGTGTTAGTAACGCTATAGGATGATCACACGTTAGCAGGGCTCCGTACTCTGCGCTGAGCCGCACAAGCCTACAGATCAAGAACCACATAGCTATTCTAGTAGAATAGTAGTAGAATAATTCTACTACAACTCAAGAGAACAGCAAGACTTCAAGATCCCAAGAGACTCTAACTATTAATAGCGTACGCCCATATGATCGATTTAGGTCAACGTTCTCATGCGAGACGCTCATTTTTGAGTTTACCCAGCGTAAACTATGGGTGAGAATGAGGTACGGCGCAATGTACAGTTCTGTTCTCTGGATGGCTCGAGAGGACACGTGGAACTACCGGGGGTTCCCTTGAATAGGATTACACACAGATTAGCAGTACACCGTTGGTGATACTCTCGTGTCATGACAGTTCATCTCTCTCGGAAATGTCCTCTTCCGGTACCGAGCCGTCGGTATCTGAGGCTGACAAGCTAGAAGGTGACGATGTTGCTGCTGCCGAAGCTGTACCCTCAAAGAGTGAGGCGACAGGGGTCGACGGTTGTAGTGCTGAGGTAGTAAGCTGGGGGGGAAGGGTTGCTTGATCTTTTTTCGCGTTATTCATGAGCTTTGTCGTAGGAGGCTGGTGTTGCAGTTGGAGGAAAGGAGGAAGTGGAGCCGGTAGTCACTGACAACGTTGGGGAGAAGAGGCCTCGTGTGGATGGCGCTGTTGAAGACGATTCTCCCAGTGAGGAACCTCCTACTAAGAAGGCCGCCGCGGGTGATGGAGAACAACAACCATGCGAGACTGAAATCAACGCCGATGCATCGGCTGACGCCACTGGAGTGAAAACGATTGCTACTCCCGAAGGTCCTACTGAGTCTGATACTAGCTTTACGGGTAGTAGTAGGGGGGCGTGTTGAGCATTGAGACGGTCGGTTGTCTTCAGAAGGGTCTGCCTCTGCTCCGACAACCAATCCTGTTACCACCCACGCTGAACCCGTTGCTCGGCCGATCGGACCAGCGCCTCCACAAGATGGAGCCGACCTGCACCACTGGGGAGCTGATGCTGGACCGTTTCGGCACACGGTGAATGTCCCACAGCACTGTGTGGCGCAGATCATCGGTAGGGGCGGGGCGAATTTGATGAGCACTCGCAACACGACTCGCTGTCACATCGAGGTGAGGAGGTTCATCCGCGTCTTGAGAAGTGTTGAGATGATGGTATGTGTTTCAGTGTGATCAGCATACGAAGGACAACGGCTATTCTCTCTTTCATATTGACGCCACTAGTGAGGAGGACCTTCAGGTGAATTCCCATCACGACTATATTTCTGTACCTTTTCCGTATCCAGCGAGGCGTACGTGCGATCGAGCGTCAGACAAAACCCATGCACCCACTTGAGGGGGAAGTGCAGCAAGTCGTTATTGTTCCTGACGAGCGGGTTGGCGATATTCTGGGCCCTCGGGGATGCGTTGTGAAGGTGTGTATGAGCGTATCCAGAAGTCAACGTCGATGAAAGCTCTTTAGGTGATATCGGATCGCACAGGGTGCCGAATCGACATCCAGCAGCGTGGCCTTCAACGGGGAGAGCCCCGCGAGTGCCGTATTGTTGGTTCACCCGATGAAGTCCAGGCCGGAATACGGATGGTTGAAGGCATTAGGGACGGCAGTGTTGATGTCAAGGCGATCATCCATGATTTTGAGCTCGCCAACCCGGCCTTTAGACGCGAGCAGGAAATGCGTGCTGCTGCTGCTGCTGGTGGTGGGTGGATGGCCCTTGGGAAGGGCGGTGGCAACAATATGTGGGAGACTCCGTATGGCATGAGGGGTCCTCTCATGCCTCAGCAGGCTTCTTCTTATGGGGTGCCTGCTATGGTTGATCAATGGTCTCATCTGTTGCCCGCGACTGGGCCGATGGACAGAGCTGTTGTTGATGTCCCCTCCGACTGTGCTGGCCTTGTTATCGGTCGTGGAGGAGAGAGCATCAAGGCCTTGCAAGCTGACTGTAGCTTGTCGGAGTGTCAGATTGAGAAAGGTGTGGACCAGCGGACACCTCGTAAGATGACTTTGCAGGGACCGGCGACGGGAGTTCAGGCCGCGATAATGCAACTATCGATGAAAACCAATGGGAGGATCGTCACTATAGTGCAACAGCAGTACCCAAACTACCAGCCACAACAACAGCAACAAGGGCCTATGATGACGATGCAACAACAACAACAACCGCAGCAGCAGGGTTATACTGGAATGCCTCCATCACGAGAAGGCTATGGCATGCCAGGTGGGATGATGATGATGCAGGGTGGCGGTAGCGGGGGAATGGACCCGATGGCGGCTCAGTATTATTCCCAGTGGAGCGCATATCAACAGCAACAGCAACAGATGAATGTGAACAACCAGCAGAATGCCGCAGCCTGGAGGAACTACTACGCTCAAATGGGAAATCCTCAGACACCCCCGTATCGAGGTGGTGGCCGACAGTAACAACACGACCAAGCGATTGGTCTAAAGGGTAGTAGTCTCGTGCGAGTTCTCCTCCTGTAGAATTGATGACTTCGACTATTCTCAAGATGATCTTTGTGATTGGCTGAGCTGAGACTACTACGACGACTACCGGTTATCGCTGCTTCTCCCCCCCCCCCCCCTGTTCACTCGCTCAGTTGCTTCTCTAGCAAAGAGGTCTTCACTCGCGGCCTGTGTTCGCATCGGGTTTCACCATGGTATCGTTTATCCGTTTTTATCAAGTTGTGATGATTCCTCGTCTCCCCGCACTTCTTCCCCATTTCAGATGAGATGTTCTTCCTCGGGAGCTGATCTCGAAGTAAGCCCCATCATGTTTAGGACATTTAATGATGATTTCGGAAGTTGTGAAATTCAATAATTGCACGTGTAAGCAGCAGGGTATTGGATCTACTATGGTTGGTGGCTTGTAGGACCTGTTCGCTGAACGTGCCTTATTGCGTTTCTCGACGGGATACGGCTCGCAGTGATTCGATTGAAGTCGTCTTTGGGCTTGCGTGCGTGCGGCTGATGACGCTTCTCCTTTTCGGCTCGTGGTGGTGTTTGGTTTCGCTCTTCGTGCCCTGCATCACGGTAAGGGTTTCATTCGAAATCGCTTTCCTATTCGTGATGACATTTTTGCTGCTCAGGTCTGTGAATATAACTTCTAGACCTAGTGGGAGAAGACCTACCTTATCAGTTGAGAAGCTATGTGGAGTTTCTCGGGGCTTTTGCCGATGTTAGCGCTTCTACCTCACTCGAAGGCTTGTGTTATCATTCTTAGTGATATGCGACTAACATTGAACCACCCAAGAGGGCTCGGTTTTGTCACAAACGCTGCTAGTTATTCCTCCGAATTCGCTGAGTTGTTCAACTACTACTGAACATCGCGTATGTCTCGGTCATCAGCATGTGAGCTTTTCCCATGTAGTTTTTTCGGATGCTCTCTACTTTGATTTCGCGTGGTGCTGCTGCTGCCGCTGCTGTGCCTCTCTCCAGCGCGGCCAGTAGAGCGTTTTCTTCGACTGCTCGTGTGTGGGTCGACAAAAACACGAAAGTCATTTGCCAGGTGGAGTCTCCAGTGGTGTTTCGATGTGGATGTTTGTTGTTTGTCCCTCAGGGTCTTACGGGTAAGCAGGGAACCTTCCACACTGCTCAAGCAATTGAGTACGGGACTAAGATGGTTGGTGGCGTGAACCCTAAGAAGGCTGGCACTACTCATCACGTGGGGGGCAAGGTGAGCTCAAAGACTTTCAAGATTATGCCTTCCGACTGGTTACGATGTTAGGATCTTCCGATTTTCGCTAACGTCATGGAGGCACGTGAGGCCACAGGAGCTGATGCGTCCGTAATTTATGTCCCTCCATCTGGAGCCGCATCGGCTTGTTTGGAAGCTATAGAGGTGGGATGATGACGATTCACTTTAATGTGGTGGATGGTGTTCTGTAGGCGGAGATTCCACTCGTGGTTTGCATCACTGAAGGCATCCCTCAACACGATATGGTCAAGGTGGCTCTGTCTCCTCCTGCTGGGTCTGTTTGTCAGTGCTCAGCTTTCAGGTGAAGGCTGCTTTGAAAATGGCAGGGGGTAGAACACGTCTGATCGGCCCCAACTGCCCGGGCATAATCAAGCCCGAAGAATGCAAGATTGGTATCATGCCTGGTTACATTCATAAGAAGGGAAAAATAGGAGTTGTCTCTAGGTGAGCACTTTCTGTGGAGAGTAGCGTATCGCACTAGTCTCTCAGGTCGGGCACTTTGACGTATGAAGCTGTGAATCAAACAACTGAAGTCGGCTTGGGTCAAAGCACTGTCGTTGGCATCGGTGGTGACCCGTTCAATGGTACCAATTTCATTGACTGTTTGGAGAGGTTCGTACAGGATCCTCAGACTGAAGGTGAGTCGTACTGATCGGAATACCTCTTCAAAGTTTTTAGGCATAATTCTCATCGGCGAGATCGGAGGAGCAGCTGAGGAGGAAGCCGCTGAATGGCTGAAGGAGCACAACAAGAACAACAAGCCCGTCGTGTCGTTTATTGCAGGAGTGACTGCACCTCCTGGTCGAAGGTGAGTCGCGAGATGTTCTTCGGCATAGCTTCGTTATGGTTGATTTATTTCAGGATGGGACACGCTGGTGCTATCATCTCGGGGGGTAAGGGTACAGCTGCGACGAAGATTGCCGCATTGGAGGGATGTGGGGCGAGCGTGGTACGGTCCCCAGCTGACCTTGGTGTGAGAATGTTGGAGATGTACAAGCAACGTTATCCTGATAGGAGTGTGTGAGAAGTGCGGTAGCGCTAACATTCAATTTCCGATGCTCTCCATAACATTGTATTCTGTATGTACTACGCTCATTAAAACTATGATTTTTACGAAGTGCAATGTTGTCTTCGCAGACACGGGGCTTAGCCTTGGGAGTTGAGTTCTCGTAAGTGCAATCTTGGATATAAGTGAATTGCTTTTTACGTGAAGTACGCGAGTTGATCGATATTAGTAGAGCAGAAGGGCTCCGGAATGAGAGAGCACCAGGATGTGATTAGACTTCGATAGCAAGTTGAAAACATCTTCTGATGACAAACTCATGCGTGATCTTTGAGATGAACGTGCATCAGAAAGAGCAACAGTAGTTGATGCTGTTGCAGTCTAGTCGTGTAAGGGTTCGTATGGCATGCGGGTTCAAATGAAGGATATGTTTCAACTCGTGCCGCTATTGTGTGTTAGTAAATTTGAGATAGAAGAGTTTTCGATATGCGGAAAAGATGCCGAATTGGCAGATGCGAATCTCCGCACCCACGATGGTCCCAGGGTCGAAAAGAAGACAGAAACCAAGTTGTAACTCATACCAATTGAGCCAGGCTTAAATCTCCCGCAGTTCAACATAAATATAACGTTCATTCAAGAGGAGAAAGACCACACGAGAATTCTCTCATTTAAGGCGAGGAAATAAAGCGGTAACTTAGTGAACGAGGCTGCGAGCAGAAAAGTTGATGGTATGACTCGTATGAGGTCATTCCTCAACACAAACATACGGGAAGAGCCCTTTTACACTCGTGCAGACATCAAGACTGATTGCCAGCCGCCGAAAAGAGGTCACCGGAAGGATAGTCAAGACGCTTCCTTGATAAGGCAGCAGGTGCGATGCGTGGTTGACGAGATGATTCAGACCCAGGTGGGACGGAGCAGCACTCTGCCAGCTGAGAGTACCCACCCACTCGAACCTCCTCAGATGTTATTGCGTTACTCTCGAGTACACCTCGTCCTGATTCACTGGAATGGGCCCAATGGTGAGAGGAATGCTTATCGAGGATATATACAGCAGTATACATAGTATATATCGAGTATATATACAGCTTATATATTCAGCAGTTGCTGCTGAATTCCCTGAGAATATCAACTCATGACTTCCGACTGTTCACACATAACCACTGATAAACTGATATTTAATACTGTCATTAGGTGCATGCGCCATGACGAGCCAAGAGCTACGTCTTCAAGACTACAATCATGTGCGATGCCACAAACCCGCACTATCATATTTTCAATAATGATACCCTTACACCTTTTGAGTATGAAATCAAGAAGTCAATCACGATATTCAGATCATTCAATGAAAAAACCCAAACTCTCATTGTTGGTTTGCTTTCACATGCCCGTTCCCACTCCAAACGCGACAAGGATATTTACGTGGGTAATTTAGGGTTAGACTGACACATCATCAAACCCAACGACGCGTAAATCAAACCTCGATTCAGTAGCTGCAACTAATAAGATCTCCGGACGTTCATAAATACCCTCTGAACTACTAAGCCACCACACCAGTAAGATGGCGGTAGTGATGACGATCTACATAACATAGGCGGAAGACATAACACGGGTCTAGCTGATATTCTTCATAGCGATTTCTACTGACTAACAGCAATAGGGGGGATCAATGCGAGGTGTATTGACAATAAAAGGTTCTAATCTTATAGGATATCAAGTAGTGTGTGTGCCACTGCATCCGCAGTTCTATCACTGAACACACTGAATCACAAAGATATGCGCATGAACGCAAGCGACACATGACACAATATCAGAGGATTAATCCCTACATAACTCATTCGATGAATAGTACTATTACACCAGCAACAGTTAAGGCACCGACCTCAGCAGCTGAAGTGCTTATGGGAATCTCTCATCAGATAGGATGAATCGCTGGGCGTTTGATAGACGCTACGATTCATTATAATACTCACATCGTACCCACCTCTAATGCTGTGAAACATAGTCATTTAATAATAGTTACGGCCCTTACCCTTGCCGCCTTTACCACCACGACCCTTGCCATAGGAGCGTCGATAGCCACCGAAAGGACGACGCTGAGCAGCGATCGCCCCAAAAGTCTCTTTATCTGTGGCTCGTTGCTTAGCTCGTTGATCGAAGATAGCCGGATCGACTGCAGCACCTTGAGTGCTCCTCTCCTTACGGTCCAGAGCATCACACGAAATGTCGTCGAAGAATCCCTTGTTCTTGCTATAGCCAGTTCTTACAGTCGTACCAGCAGTGGAAACAGCACTCTCGTCGGGTTTCTCGAGCTTGGAAGCATTGCCAGCATAATCAAACTCCTCCTTCACCTCAGCCTTAGCCTCAGGATTCACGTTCGGGACCAGTTCACCAACAGGACCTGTACGAGTAGGAGGCCTCCTATGGGGCCTCTCACTGCGACCATATCCACCATAGTAACCACCACCAGAGTAGCCACCACCCGAATAACCACCGCCAGAGTAGTAGCCACCCTTACCTTTGCCACCGTAACCCTTATCACCATAACCCCAGTTTCCACGACGATCCTCCCAGCGACCACCACCACCACCACGAGCACCGCTTCTATCGTCTCTCTGTTGACGATTGGTACCACCAACCTTAGGGGCTTGATTCATGCTCACAATAGCTGGGTCGACGAGAGCGCCAGCCTTTTGACCAGCGCCCTCGAGGACAGTGAGATCTTTGATGTCTTTGCCTCGGAATATAATAAAATCATAAACCTCGTCGCTGGCAGGGACGTTAGGAACCTTGCGACCTTCGGTGCCGAACGATTTCACATTCTGCAGAGCTATAGTAGACTCCTCTGTGTTGATCGTGTACAGTATACCCTCGTAGCGGATCTCCGCGTTGGAGATGAGCGAGATCTTGCTCCCAATGTAAGGCAGTGATGAACCACTCATAAGCTGGAAGAGTTGATAACAAAAGAACGCTCAACGAGCTTTCAAAATCTGACATGAGACCAATCACAAACGATAAAAGGCACCACGGCAGTGAACGGATAAAATGTATGCACGCATACACACAGACAACCACATCGCGGAACCCCCTTTAGACCGAACATAAATCAACCATACAATAGAAGCATTGCCTTCTTGAAAGCTGCTGCAACAATAACGGCAAACACAGTCACTCATCATATTCAGCTCAGTTTCACACGCCTCGAGGAGCGATAAAATCATGATGCACGCACGCACAACCATTCCGAGCTGCGTCACACAGTTCGCCATTAAAATCTTCACATAACACTTATTCGACTAATTCACAAATTCTATAAAAAACAGTAGCCTCATCATACTACTAGACGAACTCCACTATCCGATTAATCAACTACCGACATTACCATTACAACAATCTTGACCTCAGAAAATCGCTCTCGGGCGAGCGAGATTCGACCACCACCACCGCACTCCGAAACTTTTCTTGTGCCGTACTAGTACACCCTTACGTGACAGTTCATGCTGACCTGGCACATCAGCAATGTCAATGCTAATGATATTTCGAATGAGCCCTCCTTAGAAGCCTTCCATTGCATATAGGCAATTTTATATTCTCAACACAGTCTCCAGTTCGCCAGTAGACTGAGATAGATCAGGTCAGCGTTCTCGATATGACATCAACGACAAGCTTCATAGCTTACTCTATGCTGCTACGCATTTTTCAAAGTGTTTACATCATTGTGAGCACTTAACGAAAATGTTGATGCCCAGAGGACAGGCCGGAAAACAAAGGCTTTTACAAGAAGCTCGCAAGTGAAAGGAATTCTCCCATAAATTCTCATTCACCGGTTTTGCCTTGCAGGTCCCCTCGCTGACGAGGCCGATCGCTCTTGAAGGGGACAGTCCGAGTCCCTTGCGAACAGCACCGAGTGAGTTTTGCCGTGGGGTCTGTTTCAGGTCATGAGAAAATCATTGATGGGGGGGAACTAGTTTTGGATTTTCCATGTATGGAACGCATTCTTCAATCGGTTTCCCATGTAAATGTCATCATCACATTAGGAACGTTCTTCCCCCCGTTGTTATCAAACCCCTGGGGGGGATGTTATTTCTCAAAGCTACATGAGCCTCTGCCTCTGCTGTAGGTACACGAAGCTGTAGCACCGGCTATTGACGCGAATGGGGTATAAAGTTTTGCATGTGCCTTATCTCGAGTGAGGGAAACTCCGTGGGGCTAAGAATAGGAAAGAATATATGCCGACTAAGTTGAAGTAGGCTGTGGGATTCGAACCTGCGACCTCTGCCTCTTGCAGGGAGGAATAGGCTAGATTCTCGAGATGAGGAGTACTACACGGCACAAGACGCTGTGTAAGTCCACAATCTTGGTGTCGGGTAAATCAAGATTTACTACAGGTTCCCGAGGAGATGGTATTACCTAGAAGGTGCTGTTATGGACAGTTGCATGTTGGTCATTCCGATGTAGTAGAGCCGCGCAAGTCTCGTCGAGCTGCCTTGGACATCTACGTGACCATAGGGCAGACTCTGTCGTGTCACTCACATACTCAGGTGAAGGAGGCGTTGTCTCGGTTGATGACATCAGTCGGCTACTACAAGTCGGTTCCTAATGCCTATCGTTTATGATATGGTCATGCGTACAGTTTCCTATAATCAACCAGGAATTGACTTTGTGTAATTTGTCCCTACTAGAAGGTGACTTGGTCTCTCAGGCTTTGAGCTTCCCCACTCACTATTGCCTCTGTCCATGACCGTTGGTGGCCGCCGCCGTCTGTCTGCTTCTCGGCTGCACTCAGGAGCTCCTGCTAGCTCTGTTAGGCTCATCGTATTCGACTGGGACTCTACTTTAGCGGAGCGTTCAGGCAAACTAGACCGAGGTGAGGTCCTGTATTGGTTGCGACAGCTGCGTAGGGTTACCAATGCTACTATCGGTATCATGAGCTACAACACCCAGGGCGTTGCGTCTGATGACTCTCTCATTCTTTCCGAGCTGAAGTCTAGTGGTATACTAGGGGAGTATGTCCACAAAGAGAATATTTGGGGTTACCTCAATCCTTGTCACTGTCGTGAAGATCTGGAAATGCACGAAAACATGCATCCTATCTTCTGTGGTGATATAACATCAAAGGCTCGAGCCATCGGTCGTATCGGTCGTTATGCTGGCTTGAAACCTGAGGAAATTCTCTACGTAGACGACAGCTACAAGCAAATCGAGCACGCAAAAGCCCTGGGCGTATGTCACACATATCAAGGAGTCTACAAGAACCTGGCTGGGCTTACTGAGGAGGACTGGAAAGCGATAATTGCGTTTCTGAATGATCCTGCTGTTGGTCATCATCACAAGCTTTGGACGGGGTCTTCCATGGCTCCAGCTAGCACACTTCGCAATACCGTCCTAGAACGTGCATCTGGTTTCAGGACGACCAAACCAGTTACTAATTCGGTATCCTCCCGTATTCCTGTAGTGCCTGTGAGAGTAACGGCCTGACCTCGCCCCTGCGGTGTTAGGTGCTGAAGTAGTGGGCAATATGGTCATCTCACTGCATGCTATTCTCTGAGCTAAACTGCTCTAGTCTTAGTAGCAATTCATATACTACAGATCTTACTAAACTATTATTTTCTTTTATGCTCATGTAATGATAAACACATTTCTGCAGGCAGGATTAGATTCTCGATCTGATCTTCGAGAAATTTATCCCCAAGCCCCATTTCTGTTTGGTCGTCGTCGTCCAACTGCATTTCTGCTTACTAGTCGTTGCACAATGGAGTTGATCGCACTAGATGCCTGCGGAAGCTCTAGGTGGTCGATGATGATCATTCTTCCGAAGTAAATGGATTGTAAGCCGATTATGAATTTTGTGTTGTGTTGATTACTCGTGGGAGAAGGAAAAACCACAGATCCATTTATTGAAGAACACCATTAAGGGAGTTGCTCATTGCATAACAAAAATTGTCTTTAACATAATTATAAACTATTATTCTATCACATGTGTTAGAAGATGCCCCGACTACAACAACACAAAATACTTCATATCTCGTTGTACATTTTTTCATCACAAATTCACACATCGGATCTTCACTTTCTGGCCCGGTTGACGGTTATAAGAAAGAGAGAGCCATTTAGAACAAACCAGATTATCCAATTATTGGCAAATCTCACAATTCTCAGTCTGTTATTGTTTCCTCATCATAGTGACGAACTCTTCGAAATCAATTTCACCGTCACCATCAGCGTCCACCTCGCCCAAGATCTCGTCAAGATGGCCTTCAACTAAGTCACTGACAGTTCCGTTGTGCAGGACTTGACTGAGCTCCTTTCGAGTGATCTTTCCGTCACCATCAATATCGAAAACTCGAAATGCTGCCCATAGAAGATCTTCTTGAATATATTTCTTACCTGACAAAGATCAGTCTTATTCGGATTATAGCACAATAGTTGCAAAGAGTGTGAGAAATATTTTCGCAAGAAGTCATGTTCAGAGGGTTTCTATACAAATTTTCAAGTGTATATGAGCAGCAGTTGGCAATTTGAGGCTACAGCACGACATTCAGGTCTTTAGATGACGCCTAGTTTACGAGATGATTCTTACGATCAAGTGTAGCGGCTATGAACTCGGTATAGTCGATCACACCAGAGCCATCAGCATCTACTTGTTTCATGATCTCTGCCAGATTCTCGGGGACTTCTTTAAGATCTGACAGAAGATACGCGAATCACTCTTGTAAAAATGAAATTAATATAGCTACGGCTCGGAGTTACATTTATTATCAGCATAGAACAACTAGACCCTCACCAGCGTGGTTTATTCCCTCGATGATCTCATGCACAGTGAGCTGTCCATCACCGTTCTTGTCAATAGAAATAAAAATCTGCTTTAACTGCTCAATCTCTTCATCTGGTAGCTGTTGAGCAATAACGTGTAACGCGGCCTGAACATTCCTCAACACATTCACGATATGGCGAATTCTATCCGACCTTTTTGAGTTTATTCTGACTTCGAAACGACTTCAAATTTTCAATCTGGGCCCCCTCTAGTGGAGCTCCCTTCGCCTTAGGGGCCTTATTACGTACCCATAGGTGGTTCAGAGCTTGTTCGGCTAGACAGGAGAAGAATTACACTTAACATTTTGGAGTAGTTCTCACCAGTGTAACGATCTCGAGGGTTTATCTTCAACAACTTCCGTATGAGATCCTTAGCATCTTCAGAGATGCCTTTCCAATCACTAGCGTTAAAAGTATAGTTGCCAAGCCGAACTTTAGTGAGGACATCAGCGTCAGTCTCGCCGTAAAAAGGAGGATAACCACATAATAAAATATACCTAGTAAAAAACCATACCGCACGCGGAAATATAAGTATAATTTACTATTAGATAAAACGTGTATTATATATATTTTATAGATAAATGATGATATCAAATCTCATTATATTTCCATACGCCATTCAGTGGTGGAGGAATATATGTTCGCTTCCCTCAGCTGAGTTCACAAGGTTTCTCACTAATTATACAAGTTTATATACGAGTTCGGGTAGAAGTGTAGAAAAACCAATGAGAATTTCCTCAATTTTCCTCAAAATTTCCTCAATTTTCCTCAATTTTCCTCAAAATTTCCTCAATTTTCCTCAAAATTTCCTCAATTTTCCCCAGAATTGCCACGAATGTTACCCCTACACATATAAACCACTACGTGCATATTTTCTTACACTGCATATATTCTCTATATTAATAAAATAAGAACATAATCATATAGAATCAATCATATATGAAATGGATGTATATAAAAGATCACAGAAACCTGTCATCATAACGGCTTACATTATAACACCGCAACTCCAAAGGTCACAAGATTCATCATACTTTCCAGCGAGTACTTGAGGGGCAACATAATACGGAGTGCCCGCTTTAGTCGTCATTATATCGTCTTTGCCGAATTTCGTGCTAAGTCCAAAGTCTATTATCTTCAAGCAGGACTTCTCGAGAGGTTCTTTAGTAGAAAAAAGGAAATTTTCCGGTTTCAAGTCTCGATGCATTATATGGTTTTCGTGCATGTAGTAGATTGCCCGCAAAATCTGCTGCATGATGATAGCCGCCTGGACTTCTGTGAAATGTCCAACTTCAATGATCCTATCAAAGAGTTCACCTAAAATACATTAATACACTTTAACGTTAAGGAGTAGTAGTATGATAATATTATTACCTCCTGTGCATAGTTCCATAATGAGGTATATATTCCGATGATCCTCAAATGTCTCGAATAGTTTAATAATATTAGGATGATCCAACATCTTCATAATAGCTATCTCTTGTTTAAATCTATCTATGTTCTTCACATGGGATTTTGATATTGTCTTTACCGCACGGACCTGAACATCATCAACATATCGCTATCAAGCTCCCATGAAGCACTCACAGCAGCAGTCGACTTGTTAATTGCCCTAGACACCGAACCGTAGGAGCCCTGGCCGATCTTCTTCCCCTCAAGGTCATAGAAGTCTGTTAACGTTCCTGTGTTGTCTACTATGAAGTTGGCTCGAGCGAAGCCACCTTCAGCGACCTGAGCTCAACGACTAAACAGGGGTGGTTGATCGAGGGAAGACCTGTTTCGAAGGCAAACTGCTGCTATTTCCATTCATCGTGGAACTAGGCTCTGATTTGGACCCACATACGTTACCCATATTTTGGGACTTTAAAATGAATAACTCTAACGCCGCCGATTACAGTTACTCATAAGACAGTAAACCCCCCCCCCCCCCTCCCCCCTCGCGGAGATGTGTCGTGCTACAACTTCGCAAGGACGGCCTTCTCCTCATCTTAGTAGACTGCTACAGGCAGAGTTGCGCAGTGCCGTTGAGGAAATGCAAGATGGCTCAAGAGAGCAAGCTGGGCAACTCTCAACTGTCACAAATTTTTCTATTTTTTGCGGCACTTGTATCTCACGCGCCCAAGCGCCTTCTTCGTTAGAGTAAAACAGTCCAAACACGTGACTGGACCCACATGGAGCCGATGGTTGGGGATTCGCTAATACTCTACTCAGTAAACTGCCTCAGTTTAGAATGGTTACATCTGAGAGACTTCTTTTGATAATCTCATCAGTAGATTGCGTATTTGGGGGAATTCGCAAGAAAAGGTCGCTCATGCCGAAAAAAGAGTTTGTGCGTTCAGCAATCACGAGTTAGCAAGTCTTATTGGAGTTTGCTTGATCTCGATTATACCTGGGGAAAATTCGTCACTGCGCCACGATATTCAGCTGGCCTTACTATAACCGTTCGCAGCTACCACGGCAGGCTCTACCAGTGAAATGATCACATCCAGCAGCTGAGGTATCATCATTGCGTACCTGTATGATGAGAGTATTTGAATATGACACCGCTGGGATTCGAACGCGGAACGTTCAACGGGCGGCCCACTCGTACAGGACGGCGATAGCACGTATATCTCTGCATGTGTTTCACATGGAAGGTGTTATTATCCGGAGTAGTCGCTGGGTTAATCGATGATATCGTGAATCCAAAAGGAGTCTGCCTAAAACATGCCACTCTATGCACAAGCTCGCAGACGCTAGTTCAGGCTTAGCAACGAATCCGATGGTCACTACTTTATTACTATCAATAAGAACATTTCAAATGTCCGTATTTTGAATGGAATAGACGAGTTGAAGTAACGAGTAGTTTGAAATTCAGACTACTCGTTGCATTAACGCTTTCATCCCATTCGAGATAGACATGTCATGGCTAAACCCATTTAAACAGATAGTGTTCCAGGACTCTTCCTGCTTCTACCATACCTTCAAGAACGCAATTCGTGACTGCGCCGAAAACTTATTAATTATTGCGATTCTGCCTTTCTTCGGTAGCCATATATTTATTTATATTACTGTTGAGAGTTGTTGAGAGCAACTTCATGATAGCAAGAGCATGGGTCACCATCACACCCACTAGGACGGCCATCCCTTCCTGTGAGCCAGTAACTCAGTTCTTCCAGAGTACAAGTGCTCGATACTTGGGCGACGCCACACTCTACCCGGCGACGCCGCTCTAGTAACCGATACGCATGCGTTCGGCCTTCGATGGAGAACCCAGGTGCCTGACTAGTATAGCTCAACACTGTGTAACAAATGGACGTTATAATCCAGTCATGTTCAAAACGAGAGTACCATAGCATACGTTTTCTTCCAGGCAACGCTGCCGAGCCGACAACAGCATTTACCCGCGTTGAATAGTACAAATAGGTCTTGTCGCTGATGAGGTCGTAGCTGTGGAATATTCACATATCGATAGTATCGTTGACTATACTCGGATTCTGAACGGTTAGACAGAATTTGCACATGCTAGCGGCGATGCCGCAAACTCCGGCAGTGATGGTGACCAGGGGTACGTCACGAGCAGTCTGGTCGATTTCATATCGACATCAAGTATCCGTTGGTCAAGCGGTGAAGTCGCCGAATCTTGCCCCATCCCACCTGTCCTCCGAGGTGAAGTAGGTATTGGA